TCGACTCTTCAGCAATCCCTCACACTAAGCATGCTTGTAGCGACAGTGGAGAGGAAAAACTCCCTTTGAACAGGAAGGGAGTACCTCAGTTCATTTTAATTTCCAGAACATTCCACTTCCTGTAAAAAACATCTCAGTTATCTTTCTGTTTCATACTTTGGCTCAGAGTTGGACAGCATCTCCCCTGTCATGTTTAGGGTGTTACTCCCTCCATCACATCTGGACTCTATCAACTCATGAGCTTTTAGTCTAATAGGCGTATTTCTGTTCAAAACACGGGTCAGCGTGGACAGAGGGTCGGGTTACATCACAGAAAGAAAGTGAGACGTGTTTATTTTAACTCGTGAAGTGCCGAGTCAGCAGAGAGGTTTTCTTTCCTCTAACAGACCCAGGATTCCCTGCTCTTTCCTCTCTATTACAGCTGCAGAGGAATGTTTCTCTGATCTAAGCAGAATTTCCCGCGGTAAAATTCCAGGCAGCTGATTCATTCTGAGCTGCAGAAGCATTTTTAGTCAGAAACTGAGCCACACCCTGAACACTTCAGGGACTCCCAGCCTCAACAGAAACTTCACTAAACCCTCCGTTTATATCAGCAGGAGATCTTCTCCTCTGTATCTCCTGGTTGATTTGTAACACGTTTCCTGTTGACCTTCGACCCGCTTTCAACCCGAGAATAAACGGCCTGCAGCTCATTAAATATTAAACAGTCTGATTCTAAAAACCATGAGAGGTTTGCTTCAGGGGAGAAAATCCCCATCTGAAGTGAACTTTGGGGCTTTCCAGGTCAGTTGCTCTCATGGGCAGCAAAGTCTGCTGAAGCTTAAGCATAGAAGGCCCCCTGGTGGTGCTTCCAGATACTACAGCAATCCATTAAAAAGGCAAATAAAATAAACATTTAAATTTTAACAACCAAGATGCAGCAGCTGGGAATCAATGAAGTGAAATTATAGTCTGACGGCTTAGCTTTTTTAAAAAAAGGTAAAAGGAAGACATGATTATATGATCCACCTTTTTTCCACTGATATGAACTCAGGAACTGTTTTCGGATTGTCTGTAGTTAGCTAGCTGGCTAGCAGAGTGGTTTGACATGTAGTTTCATCAGCTTTTCAGTGAAGCCTTCATTTTATTAAGTGAAAGTGATCTTCAGAGTTTGTATGAAATAAAAGTGATGACAATGACGACCTCAGCCCACACCCAGAACAAAATGCTCTGTCTGGCAAAACTAAAATATACTCTGAACCTGGTTCTGCTGGAAGTTTCTTCCTTTTAAAAAGGGAGTTTTTCCTCTCCACTGTCGCTACAAGCATGCTTAGTGTGAGTGATTGCTGAAGAGTCAATGAGTCGATGCAATCAGCTGGTTTTCCTTAGATAGAAAACCTTAAATCAATCTGGTGAACTGCAAAGTGCCTTGAGATGACATGATGTGAATTAGCGCTATAGCAATAAACTGGATTAAATTGAATTCCCCACCAGCGGCGTCCTCTGAATATTTCACTAAAGTTCTACTTGCCGTCCTGCGCTTCATCTAGGACCGGGTCACGGGGGCATCAGACTCAGCAGAGACTCCCGGTGTTCTGTCAGATGAGCATACCCCGTCAGACCAGCACACCCATAGTCAATATGCATGCGCAAGACGTCAGATTTGCATACGTGTTAATAGTCCCGTTTAGCCCTTTAGTTTTGTTCTAAAATACACTTTAATCTACCTTGACGGGCGTGTAACATATCCCTTTAGTCATGTACCCAAAAAATAATAATAATTTAAAAAACTAAAGGGATAAAAGGCAGGTATTGACTATGGGTATGCTGATCTGACAGAAAAACACAGGCTTCTATCTCCTCAGACGCATCCTCCAGCTGTGCTGGGGAAGCCTGTGGCGCTCCCAGGCCAGAATAGGGACATAGTGCCTGGGACACCTTCTAAGGGACGCATGTTAGCATGCTAACACTTCAGGACTAACATTAGCAAGGTAATGCTGAGGGACACACCTTAGCATGCTATTATTAAAGGACACATTGTCACTGCCCGATCCGTCCCATCAGCTCATGTGCAACCAGATATAGATTTGGGTTTAAAAAAAGTAATTCAATAAAATTTACTTATTTCTGTCCTTAACTCGCTACAGAATGCTAATACACATCTTTAAAAAATGTTTTATGACTTTTCTGAGACAATTTGATGCTTTTTACATTTTCTCCATTAAACAGCCTGCTCTGATCATGTCCGATGATGACGTCAGACAAACTGGCAAAACATTATAAAACCATGTTTATCTGCACTTTAGATGTTTCTTTGTTTAGATTATGCACTATATAATGATAACACAAAAAGGAAAACATGAAACTCATAAACACTAGATTTATGTTTAAATCAAAAGCTGATAAAGTTAGCTCCTGGAAGTAGCGTAGCATCCCATTTCCTGTACAGATCAGGCACAGAGTGATAAAACAGTAAGGATTTTAATGAATTTAATTTCTCAGGAAATTTATTTTCAACATTTAAAGCATTATATTTTAGTATGCTTACTATTTTTAAGGAGTGAAAAAGTGTAGGTTTCTTTTTTACAAAATAAAAACATATCTGATTGTTGAAATGTGCTTTTCGGATGGATCAGATAGTGACAAATGTTAGCATGCTAATACTAAAGAAAATACTTAGCATGCTAATATTAAAGGACATACTTTAGCATGCTAATACTAAAGAAAATACTTAGCATG